AAGTCTGGTCCTGACTGCTCCTAAGGTCCTAGGACTCACAATTGTGAAAACATCCTTTAAAGTCTGAGAAAGATAAACTCCACCAAACAAATTTCCAGGTGAGAAGGGGTTATGAGAATGGCACATCAAACATATTCTTCAAAAACGGCCTTGTCATGAAAAAGAAAGGCTGAGAAATTGATCCAGATTAAAGGAGACTGAAGACACACACAACTAAATGAAGTTTGTGATTCTAGACTGAATCCTGTAAAGGAGGCTTTTTAAAAAGCCACAAAGGCCATTACTCAATAAATTGACAAAAATGGAATATGAATGGGAGATTAGTTAAAAGTTTTATGCCAATGTTAAATTTACTGAAGAGGATAACTGTACTGTATGTAAGAGAATATTCTTTTTCTCAAGAAACACACAATGAAATATTCAAGGAGAAAGTCCATGATGCTCAAAATGTATTCTCAAATATTCAGGAATGTGTGAGTGTTATTCATATATGTGTGTGTGTTCATATAGAGAGAGAAGGGGAGGGAAGGAAGGAGACAGAAACAGAGACAGAGATTGCAAATGGGTCAAAATATTACCAGGTAAATCTGGATAAAGGTTATGTGGTTGTTTACCATCCAAGCAACTTTTCCACAAGTTTAATTATTTCCAAAAAATACCTTTTTAAAATGGGCTGTTGGCTGTTGTCCTGAATTTTACCCAGTCTTTGAGATTTCTGGCTTTGATTCCTGTAGCTGCTACCACCAGCATACCCAGACCCCAGAAGTGTGCAATGGTGACTTTAAAACAGTTGTCTCAGGTTCTGTCTCAGGCAAGAAACCTGGGATCCTCTTTGAACATTTGAAGCATGCTAACATTTCAACAGGGTTACAAAATACTGGAAAAGAGCACCTCCCTCCAAAAAAAAGAGATTTAAAAAAATTATACACAATATAAAACAAAAAACAAACAACAAAATATTCAACATGTTTACAGCATAGAACCCTTAATTTCTTTCTTATCTGCTGCCACCAGGTCTTCTGTCTTCTGGGTTTTTGTGGTGTGAATGGGTTTGCTGGCACTTTGTGTGCTCTGCTAGTCAGTTACCACACCTCCACCAGATTTCCATCTTCCAAAACTGTGTTGAAGTCTTTTGTCCTGTCCTCTCCTTGTCATCCTCAAGTGCTTATTCTTTTTAAGTCCTTTCCTTGTTTTAACAGCTTTATTGAAATATAGTTCACATACCATACAATTCACCCATTTAAAGTATATAATTTCATGATTTTTAGTATATTCACAGACACCTGTAACCATCAGCACAGTCAATTTTAAAACATTTTCATGACTTCAAAAAGAAACCTTGTAACCTTTAACCATCATCTCCCTCTCCCCTCACCCCCCAGCCCTAAGCAACCACTATTCTACTTTCCATCTCCCTAGATTTCCCTCTTCTGGACATTTCATGTGAATGGAATCACATGTGGTTATTCATGACTGGCTTCAAGACGAGGGTTTAGCTCTCGCAATAAGGACATTTCAGGCAGTGTAATTCCATTGAGGTTAGGAAGGAAACCTCTTTTCATACAACAGGAAAGAAGGAAAGGAGGAATGGGAAAGGGTTTTTGTGAAGGTGTTTTGACAGAAAGTTCCTATCTCATGGCTTCTAGCTCCTCTGTGAATGGTGGTCCAGTACATCTACTGAGCAAGTGGAGACGGCCTAAGTTTGAGGAAAGTGAAGGAGATTTGAAATAAAGTAGAGAGGCATCAGAGAGAATGGACTAAGGAAACAGTGACCTAAGCCCCATTTGTTTTCCTCACGTGTTGGTAAGCATGGGGTCATTATTTGTGGAATGAGCTAAGGTTTTCCAGCTAGTGCTGGGGCTGAATTTATCGTGGCACCAGTAGATTCCATTGTGAGATTTAATCCAACAGCGATCAGTTACTTATAGGAAGGCGTTTCTGGAAAAGAGGTGGGATTTTGCCAGACAGGAAAAATCAGAGGGGATTGGATGAGGCACATTTGTAGTGGAGCTTTTTAAATGTTGCTTGCCTCATAGTCATTTCAGAGGAATCGTCTTGCATGTCTTGTATTCTTATCTTCCAAACCGGACCAAATCGCCAACATTCCAAGAAGTCAGTAAGGACAAGAATGTCCTGTTGGCAAGAACTGATGAAATTGGACTTTGCTGATGACCAAATTCCTAACCAATCAATGAAATACAAGTCTGGCCTTCTGCCTTATGACCGAATCTAAAGCCAACCTATGAAGTATAACCCTAGCCTTACCTCATCTAGCACCAATGAACTCTTCTTTAATACAACTTATCTCATCTTCCTCCCTTTTTCCCATAAAAACTCTGAGCCCCCTCTTCTGTAATCAGGACACTATTTGGGTTTCTACGTGAATCTGCGCTCCATGAATTGCAATTCTTTGATCTCAAATAAACACTTTGCCTCTTAAACTGGTTTCTCTTTTTGTAGGTTGACATATGGTGTCAGGAAGCGGGACCTGAAGCAATCTCACCTTCACGGACCAGCGTCCCCTGGAAATGGGTTGGGGACCAACATGAGCCCCCTTGTGTGCTCAACTTCTTCCATGGACAGCTGACTCCTCCGGTCGTGGGACCTCTCAAGCTTGGACCTCCCTCCCTTTGGTTTAGGTCAGTGCCTTTATTTAGAATCATTGCAGTGGCTTTCATTGTCAAAGGAGAGGTTTCTCTCAAGCAAGCAGGGGATTACCTGATTGTGGCACTGATGTGGCTTTTGTTGCAGGAGGGGATTCCCTCAGTAGATTTGTGAGTACTCTCAAAAATTAAAGGGGATTCTCTCGGTAAAAATTTCTGCTTAGACTTTGCTGTGGGTTAATATGCATATGAGGAAAAAGCTATTGCTAAGAGACACCTTGGAAGCCAAATCCGCAAAATTAGTGGGCATGGGTCCAGCATTTAAGAGCCATAAGTTCACTCACCAACCTCAAGAAAACTTCTGTGCAACGAGGTACTCTGTAAAACATCACACAATCCCAACCCCATGGCACATCCCTCTTAGGTATAAGTTTGACTCCAAGAGACCCAAGGCTGGGGCCGGCCTGGTGACACAGCAGTTAAGTTCACACATTCTGCTTCAGCAGCCCAGGGTTCACTGGTTCAGACCCCGGGTGCAGACATGGCACCACTTAGCAAGCCATGCTGTGGCAGGCATCCCACATATAAAGTAGAGGAAGATGGGACGGATGTTAGCCCAGGGCCAGTCTTCCTCAGCAAAAAGAGGAGGATTGGCAGCTGATTAGCCCAGGGCTAATCTTCTTCTTCTTCAAAAAAAGTTTATGCTATGAGACAATGTATGTTTTCAGTAAAAAAAAAAGAAGGTATAAGGACTGGAGATATTTTCGTTAAGAAAGTAAGTTTGTTCTAAAGTAAGACTTGTTATGGGAAAGAAAGGACAAATTCTGAATGTAAAAAAGAAATTTACAGAAGGTTTGTGGAGGAGGAACCCTGAGAAAAGTTTTGTGCTTCGTCAAGCTGGCTAAGATCAGAATGAATTTAATTAAGTAAATTAGTTTTAATTTGAAAAGTAAGCTTGTACAAAATTAGAATTTGGTTTTCTCTTTATTATAAGGACAAAGTTTTCTTGGGCTTTTAGTCTGCTCTTGATAAAGAGATTATGAAAGATTTTTTTTCTTTATCTTTGAGTAGTCTACCAAAATGGCAGGGATTTTGTTTTATAAAATAATTTTCTTTATTGTTTTTATCAAGTCTTTAATCAGAAGAGCTAAGAGTTTTTTTTTTTACAACTATTTAAATGTCTGTATTTGCCTGAAAATCTTTCATTGTCACCATGGTTAAATGGATAACTAAGCATCATTTCACATCAACTGATGATCCTATTTGACAAAGTGTTTTAAAACATTTTGATATTTTTTACAAACTTCCCAAAATCAAATTCTAAATGAAATCTTTTTCCCTGGAAATAACTTTGAGGTTTTTCAGAGGGTCCCTGGAACACATCATCTCAAAAGATTTGTTCTCTCTTCCTATAAAAAGGGAGATATTAAACTAATTAGGCTTAGTTGGTATGTTTAATCACATGGGAAGCATTGTCAAATATGTGATGATAATAAACCTTCTTAGGTTATATTGTGTGGGTGAATATTATTAATATAAATGTTTTAGAAATTATATGGAATTTTAAAAACTTTACTACGTCCTGGTATAATGCACTTGTAATTCTAGTTATTATCTTAAAATGTTGCATGTCATAAAAACAACCAAGTTTCTTCGTCAACTGTATTATAACATTAAGTCTTTTGTCATCTACAGTAGTTATATTTTTACTCTGATGCCTTTGCAAATATGTTTCATCCTCAGAGAGATTCATGGAAAAGACTCTGATACTCTAGAATACAGGATTCTGATAAACTTTCAGATCATAAAACTGGACTGGGTAAGAAATTACAGAACTCTAACTGAAAAACTAACGGCTTCATAAAATTGCGAACAAAAGAGCAAGAATAAATATTAATTACATGGGACATTATTTGGGTTTCTACCTGAATCCTTGCTCCCTGAATTGCCATTCTTTGATCCCAAAGAAGCGCTTTGCCTCTTAAACTCGTTTCGGTTTTCCTAGCTTGAGCAGGGAGGAGGGCAGATCATTTGAGGGAATCGATGCTTATTGCCCCATGGTGGGGGAAAGTGTGAATTTATTTTCTGCTCATTCTTTTCCCGACATCATCAAACAAATAAAAGCTATTCCTATTACTGGAGGAGGAGCGGGGTGGTGAGGCCTGCGAGGGCCAGGCTCCCCTGCCGTCGGGACGGGCCGGGTGGAGACGGCCGGTGGAGGGGCTCGGGCGCTCCCTCCTGCGGGCGGGGACGCTCGGCTTCCCACACCGCGTGGGGCGCCGCCCCCTCGCTTCTGGCGGCCGGGGGGGGGGGGGGGGGGGGGGGCCCGGGGTCCGGCCCAGGCGCCCGGGGCGGGGCGGCTCCGCCCTCCGCGGCGGGGCGGTGGCCGGAAGGCGACAGAAGGAGCAGGTTGGAGGCCATGGCGGCGCCCGGCGTGCTGCTGGTGATGGGCGTGAGCGGCTCGGGGAAGTAGGTCCGGGAGGCAGGGGCCGGGGAGGGGGCCGCCGGGAGGCGGCGGCAGAGGCCAGACGCTTGTTGTCCGGGCCCGAGGGGACGGGAGGACCCTGGGGAGCGCCCCAACTTTGCAGAAGAGCAAACTGAGGCAGGGACACTGCTCCCTCTCCCCACCCTCCTGGACTACGTCTGAGACCCGGGCCCTCCATGGAGAGGCTCGAGCGACAGCCCGAGGTAAGGAGGCGCCTGGCGGGGCGCACAGAGAGTAAGGTGCCGCGGGCCTCCAGGAGTGGCTGGGCCGTCACATGTGCCCGTGGGTGGGGCCTCCGGGCAGAACTGGCTGGAAGGGGGCGAGGCCCAGTTCTTGCGCACTCTCGTCAGGCTGGCGCAGCGGTAGCCCACTCCTGCGAGGCCCGCACTTTCTGATCAGTGTCTATCAGCTTAAACAGCAAGGAGGGTGGCCCCCGGGGCTTGTGAGGAAGGAGGAACACTGGACGCCACGAAGCCTCTGCCCAGCCCAGTCCTGGCCAACGTGGGGCACGGGGTCCATCTAGCCTTTGGCTTCCTGATGAGACCAAAATCTATGCCGTTTGTCAGAAAAGACGGCTACTGCAGTATTCCACCAAAGGCAGCAAGACAGAACCTAACCGACTGAAGTGTCATAACCTTCAAAGGCCTGTAGTACCCTGCTAGAATTTTCTGAATCAGGAGCTACCTATGTGGTCAGATATATAGGAAAGAATCTTCCTTGCGCCACGTAGGTAGGTTTATTTTCCCAAAATTATTGACATTTTGGGCCTCAAATCTTGAGAAATTAAAATCGTTTGGGGAATCTTGGACTGAAATTAAAGTTAAACATGGAGTCTGGAAATCCCTAGCTGCTGTATGATTTGAAGCAGTTGAAGAAGGCGGAACTGCTGCTCTGGTGGGATGTCTGGGAGTCAGGAGCCCCTGGGCTCGCTTACCCTGCAGCCTGGCTCTGGGAGCTTGAGCAATTCACGTTCCCCTCTCTGCCTTGGATCGCCTGGGGGAGTCTGAACCATGATTTATATGGTTATGATGTTCGTGCATTCAGTGAATATTTATTAAGCTCAGTCTTACTCTGTATCACTGATATATAGTGAACAGGACGAATAAAATCCCTGCCCTCAGAGATTTACCTTCTAGTATGGGAGACAGACACTAAGTGAATAAATACACCTGTAGTGTGCAGGTGGTGGTAGGAGCTCCAGGGGGAAATAAAGGAGGATAAGTAGAACAAAGAGCGCTGGGCAGGATGGTCAGGAGTGGTATTGGAGCATGACCCACAAGAAGTGAGGGAGTAAACCCTGTGGATAGTTGGGGAAAGGGTGTTATAGACAGAGACAATGCAAGTGCAAAGGCCCTGAGGCTTGGTTTCTTTGTGGACTAGCAGGAAGGCCTGTGGTTGAGTGATGGGAAATGAGGTCGAAGAAACAGTGCTGGTGAAGAGAAGTGGTCATATGCTGGAGATATTTTGAAGGTAGAACCAGAAGATGTGTTGATGGACTGGATGTGGGGTATGAAAGAGGGAGAGCAGAGTCGAGGGTGATTTCAAGATTTTTGGCCTGAACTGGAAGAAGGAAGTTACTGTTAACTGATGGGGAAGCAGTAGGCAGAGCAGGCTTGGAAGAAAATATCGGGAGCTCTATATGGGATGTGGCGAGTTGGGTATGCTTATCAGTCACCCAAGTGGGTTTGTTGTGGGTGATCAGATATGCAAGTCCAGGGTTGGGGAGAGGGACTTGAGATGTAGAGGGAGGAGTCCTCAGTGCGTGGATGTGTTTATAGACATAAATTGTTGAATGAGTGAAAGGAACGAGGGAATCACTGAGGGAATACAGAAGCTGGCCAAGGACTGAGCCCTGGGCCCTCTGAGGTTAAAGGTCAGTGTCAACTGTTGCTGACAGTCTGAGTAATAAAGTGACTGAGAATTGACAGTATTGATCAGTGGATGTAGCAACATCGAGTTCTTTGGTGATGTTTGTGAGCCCCTGTTGGGGCCCGGCAAGATTTTTAATTTACTCCATAACATTTAGAGGAAAAAAAATAGCTTAAGAGAATAAGAGTCTCAAACCAGAAAGATTCTATTTAAAACAAAGTAATGTCAAGTAATACGTTTACTTATTTCCTGTTTATTGTCTCCCCCTCCCCTACCTGAATGTAAGGGATCTTCTTCCTTTTTTGTTTACTGACTTGTGTGTCTAAAACAATGCCTGGCACTGCTAGGTGCTCAGTAAATATTTGTTGACTTGATGAATGAATGAGTGAAGGAATGAATGGAGCTGTTTGAGTGGGGTGTCAGCTTTCTTCACATTTTAACAATCTTAGTAAAGCCACCCTGAGCTTCTTCCCAGGTTTCCTTCCTCCTGCTGGGAAAATAAGCGCAGGCCTTCTGCATCTCTTTCTCCTGTATCCCACGCCCGGCCTACCACCCTTGTCCTACTGTTGTTTTAAGTCTCCTTGATCTTCATTTAGACCAACCCACTGGGAAACAGTTCGATGCCAAGCTAGTTTGTAGTGTTTGGCTCCGACCAACCTCCCCGCAGCGGAGCGCGATGCCTTCTGCGGGGAGTCCGTGGTCCACGTTCAAGAGTGCAGCTGCTCTCTGGTTTAGGAAGTTCGGACAGAGCTGCGGACAGTGGCTTTTCTGTTTCCTTCCGTTTCCTTCCTGCCATTCTACCCCCAAATCTAGTTAGCTCTTCTTTTAAATTGTGAACGGCGGCTGCCATAGTCATTCCTGGCTAATCTAACTTAGTCTTCGGTGTGGCTTCTGTGGTGCAGAGCTCCGCTTCACCAGCAGCTTAGTCACCGGTAGGCTGCAGCGTGTCGCCCTGCGCAGCCTTCAGCAGAGTGAACGTCGTGGGAAGGTTTCAGTTCTCTCCCAGTCCTTTGGTTAGTCTCAGTCTGGTACAAGGGTGTCTTTAACAGCTCCCTGAAACATTCTTACAAAAGAGAGAGTAGGACCCTTGGTATGCAACAGTGTCACAACGTTTTGTTTTCATTGTATATACATCTTTTTGGTTACCTTCTATTTAAGGCAGGTGATGACAGCTTCCTTATAAGGAAAGGAGTTTCTTTTTTTACTCATTTATTTAATTTTACAAGGCGAAGCAGTCAAATAGAAATATCAAGTAAATAATTATATGGGTGGTGTGCAAAACTTAGGAGAGAGGGCATGGTGAAATGGTAGGAGGATACAGTAAGAATTCTGAGGGTGGTCCTTAAATGATTGGCACTTGGGCAACACTTTAGAAATTGACAGCAAGAAAGGGTTTCACTGATAGTTAAGTGTCTGCCAGCCTCCACTCCTCCCCTGTGCTCTAGACTCTAAGTCTCAGGATGGCTGAGACCATGGCTAGTGGGCTGGCCATTATATCCTGGGAGCTATAGGTGCTCAGTAAGTACTGGCTGAGTGAAATGAGTATATGAATGGATAAGTCGTGTGGCTCACTGCCCTTGTTTTGCAAGTGAGAAAACTGAGATTTAAAGGAAAAGGTAACTTGCACAGGAGCACACGGTCACGTAGTGGTGGAATGGAGACTGTGGCCGGATCTCAGGTTCCAAGACCAGACCCTTTTTATGGAGCATCATGCCTGTCAGGGGATGAACAGATCATTTTCAGACGCATGGCACAGAGAGTATGTCACTCCCAGACTTAATGAGTGCTCGTCATTCTCCAGATCCTTTATTTTAAGAATGTCTCTTTTCAAACCCCAGTGTTTTAATGCCTTGATGAGCTCCTTGAACCTTGTGTGGGTGCTGGAAGGTTAAATCCCCCATCAGACCCCTCCCGCCAATATCCTCAGGAGAATTTTATCGCTGTATTAATTTAGTATTTTTTCTCAAAAAATAAACATCTATAGCACAGGGACCAAAAAACATCATAAAAAACTTCAAGATTTTAATGAGATCTTATAGATTTCAAAAAGAAATTTCTAGATAATTATTTCATTTAAATTCCTGGAGAGAACGAAAGTCAGGCTCTAGACTCCAGGGTCAAGAGCATCACTCTCAGCTTCAGTATCATAAAGTACCAGTGTTTTTTGTTTGTTTTTGGTAAGGAAGATTGGCCCTGAGCTAATATCTGTGCCAGTCTTCCTCTACTTTGTATGTGGGACACGACTATAGTGTGTCTTGATGAGCAGTGTATAGGTCTGTGCCCGGGATCCGAACCCGCCAACCCCAGGCCGCTGAAGTGGAGTGTGCAAATTCAACCACTATGCCACCCGGCCAGCCCCAGTTCCGGTGTTTTAATACCGTGGAGCAGCCATCTGTTCCCCAGGGCATCGGTGGATGGAAGGAGGCCAGCTGGCTGGGGAAGGGCAGTCGTTTGAACATCCGTGTCCTCTCCACAGATCGACCGTGGGCGCCCTGCTGGCATCCCAGGTAACCTGTCCCAGTGCCTCCCAATCGCAAGCCCACTGTGGAGTCTCGCAGCTTCTCTCCCTCACTCCTTCCTTCTGGGCTCTAGTGGTTTATAAAACTCACCACAGACACCGCCACATGGCCTGTGAAACTCAGTCGAACGATTTTTATTTTCTCTTTGGTGACCACAAATAGTGATGAATGGAAAAGGAGCTGTGGCGGCCATTGAGCAGGGGTGATGAAGTGACTTACAAACCTCTTTCTTCCTTTAGGGGATGGGGAGGGGTGGGTGGAGCTGCCCTTGGGCTGCTGGTGGTGAAGAGGGCAGCAGGGCTGTTAGTCACCCCACAGTGGCTGTCATATGGGCCGCACTGCCTGCCACATACACCCTTTCACTTTGTTCTTAAAGCTAGGATGGAAATTCTACGATGCAGATGACTATCACTCAGAGGAAAATCGAATGAAGATGGCAAAAGGGATACCGCTGAATGACCAGGTGATGTTTGCTGTCTGTTTCAAACACAGATATACCACGTGGGTGGGTGACACGGGTTGAGATCTCTATGGCTTGTGGTGTAATAGATTCCTGAGTCATGAGATAACCAGTGTGCAGTGCTCCAAAGCCAGGTGCACAGTGGGTCGTCCACGTCTTAGCTCTGGCCCTGAACTTGTCTCTGAATCAGCATCGGGAGCAACGCCACCCTCTGCCCCAGCTTGAGCAGGGTCTGCCAGAACACTTTGTTGCCAGGTTTTAATCTGCAGATGTCACCCCTGAGTTGGCAGAGGCTCCCTGGGCCTCATACGTAGGGAAGTTCATCTTCTCTTCCCAGGTCCACTCAGCCTGCCACCATCGCCAGACTCTGGCATCCACCCCAAAGCCAGAGTGACCTTTGCAGATTCAAATCTGGCCCTTGGAAGTTTCCCGCCAATCTCAGGGTAAAGACCAGACACCTAAACTCCTAAATGTTCATGATCAGGCCAGGCTGACCATGCCCCACTCCAGTCTCCTTGGGTGCCATGTATCACCCTCCAGATCCCCTGGAGCCACCGTGGCCCCTTTCAGTCCTTTCTACTGCCATGTTCTTCCCCACGAGGCATTTGCATCTGCTGTTCCCACTGCCTGGAATGTGCTTCTTTCTCCTCTTCACTGAGCTAACCCTGCTCGTCCTTCCCATCTCATCTCAGCTTCTGTGCCACTTCTTCAGGGACCCCCCACCCTGACCTACTTAAGTAAAGCCTCCTATAATGAACACTCGCAGCACCGTCTTCCTTAGTGCTCTTGCCCCAGTTGCAAGTCGGCATTTGATGGTGTGAGAATTTGATCAATAATTGTCTCTGCAACTAGTTTTACCTCTGAAAGGGCAAGGACTATGGCCATTTCTGTTAACCATTATATATCCCCAGGGCCTGACACACAGTACATGTCAGGAAATATCTGTGGCATATTTGTGAGTGAACGAATGAATGAGAGAAGGAATGAATGAATAACCCTTCATTCCTGTATGCACCATCAGGAGGCCATTTCCTAGAGGGTCTCTCTCAAAGCAGACATACAAACTGTGGATTAACATGTTGGCGTAACTAGTTGTAGCCCAAGAGTGACTGTGAGGGCAGGTCAAGGGCCAGGTCCACGGCGCAGCTGAGAGCAGGGGCCCCAGCCAGGCCACGTGCCTAGGGTGGCCAAAGGGCAGGGAGAGAATGGAACTGGCCAAAGACCAACACTGTTGTTTTCACTTTCAGTGACCTTGGTTCACCCCAGCTGTGCTCCTCCCCCACCCCCCCACCCCCTGCCCCAACTCTCTTCCCTTTGCCCTGCCTTGAAGGATTCGAGTCACTAACCCAGTATTAGGTCTAATTCTAGAGCAGTCTGGGTGCACATCTCTTTGTTCAGGGGCGGTGCAGCTTTAGTTTGCAATGGTTCAAACCTTGAACCATCAAAATTAAGTTTGCAATATTTGACTTTAGGAGATAGGAGGAGGGAATCATAAAAGAGATACGGAGTAATAATTTAAACGTTATAATGATATTATATTAGAGATAACTGACATAAAGTAGATAACCTGGCTCTACCGCTAAGCTTGTGTAACCTTTGGCAAATGGCTTTGTCTCTCTCTGCCTCATTTCCTCCCCTGGAGCTGGGATGGTAACAGGATCTATCAGAACATTGGGTTCTTGGGAGGATTAAATGAAATAACACAAAAATGTGCACAAAGCAGAGCCCAAAGCATTCTGTAAATATCACTTATGTATTATTCTTGCTAATATCTCTATATACACATGTATATGTAACATAAGCCATTTCTACAGAGTGTGTCAAGTGTGACTGTGCCAGTGTTATCTTTCTCCTTGGAGTACAAATTTAAGAACAAATTAAAGTAACCCAAATGGATGGATTTTAGAATGGCATTTCAACATGCTTCCTCTTGTATGTGAGTAAGGCTTGTTAAGTGGGCAGTGTGGCTGGGGGGAATTCAGAAGAGAAGTTTATCGTACAGAAGAAAAGTTACTGATAGCCAGAAGAAACATAACCAGTTACTAAATATATTGAGGAGAAATTGTACACATTAGCCGGACTTTAGAGAGAAGCAGAACAGGGTGAGAAAGAGTAGAATGGCAAATGGTTTACATTCTTGACAAGAGCCCAGCGAGTCTGAGAGGGAAGATGCGGGTCATGGCTGGGCTGGCACCGGTGCTCTCCTGGTCGTGCTGGCAGCCAGCCCCACCTCCCATGATACGGGTTCTGCCTGGGGGAAGAGTCTTGGGAGGGCTTGGAGAGGGGTTTGTGCTCAGAGGGCTGAGGTTTGAAGAGAAAGAACCTGAGTTGAATATGCCACGGGATCCTTAAGGCTATCTAAATGTAAATTAATTAAAATTAAATAAAATGTAAACTCCAGTTGCTGGGTTGCACTGCCACATTTCAGGTGTTCAGTAGCCACATGTGGCTGGTGGCTACCAATCTAGACAGCACAGAGAACACTTCCATCATGGCAGAAAGCTCTGTTGGACAGCGCTGGCCTAGAAAGATATGCCACCCAGGCTGCAGTATGTTATTCGCTGCTGCTGCTGCTGATAAAGAACTTCCACGCCGTGTCAGCGAGACGCCCCTGCGTGCCAGGGCCACACTGTCCTGGTAGCCCACAGTGACACTTGAGCAGACTTCAGCTTCAAAATCTGTTTAAAAGAGGGGGTTTTTAATACTTTTTTTTCCTGATTATAAATGTAATATCCTGTATAGAAAATTTGGAAAGTGCTGAAAAATTCTTTCACAGAATACATCACCCTTGGTTTCATCTTCCAAAAATACCTACTGATTGAATTTTGGAGTTTCTCCCTTATCTTTTTTTGATATATATTCTTTTTACGTGATTCTTCTCTGTGAACTTAAGTTCATTTTGCACCAGGTGAAGCCAGTCGCTCATGCCTTCTCCCTCCCCACTCCTCCCTGCCCTCTCTCCACCTCCAGGGCAGTGCTGGACACACTCCATCTCCATGTGTTCCCTGAGCTCCCTCTAACTGTCAGCCCCTTCCAGAAGACATTGTTTCTCTAGATGTTTCCATCAGATCACTGAAACCATCAGCCAAGGAAGCGTCCTCTGTCCTCACGATGTTCTGATTTAACTCTAAATGCTTAAGCACTGGGCTGGGGGAGGGCCCTCACCCTTGCATGTAGGACTCTCAGGAACGACATGACTTTGAACATCAGATCTGGCAGGCAGAGATGCTCATTTGGGTTATGTTGTTTCCTCCTCTCTTTCCCCTAAGACTCCGTGTGTGTGTTTGACTTTCATAATGTGTCATACCATCTGGACTAAGTATTCAGAGTTCAGTGAGTTGGCTCTAATATCTCCTCTGTCTTGCCCCAGTTCCTGCGTCTTTAAAGAGGAGATCTGGATCACCCCCTTTCTTCACAAACATTATGAACACAGAATTGGGAGCTCGTGTCCAGGATACCCTAAAGTCCAGACTCCTTAGCAGGTCACTCAAGGTCTTGACCATCTAGTCCTGATGGTTTCTCCTGACCATCCTTACATATCAACTCCCACACCTCCTGCTGACTAGTACTAAACATCTGCCTTATCCCTTTCCTCAAGAGTTTTGGTAAGCCATCTTTAATACTCCGGGTCTTGGATTGTGCCCTTCCCTCTGCATGGCAGGCCCTGCTTCAGTTGAAATCCTCTGTATCCTTCAAGATTTAGTCTTCCTAGCACCTGATCAAAACTGATCTCCCCCTACTGTGTTATCATCGCCCTTGTCACTGGCTGGGGGGTAATTAATTGCTCGTCTACCCTCTGTCTCTTCCATCAGGCTGGGAGCCCTTTGAAGATAGGGACTGCACCATTCATATTTATATCCCTGATGCTTGATATGGCACTTTGCATATACTAAGTACTCACTGTACAAATAAAGCCCAGTGCATAGCAAATTCATGAATTAAAGCTCTTAAAAATTAAAAGTGGGAAATAAATACTATTTATCTCAACTATTAAATCAGCCCAAAAGTAATGTTTAAAGTGGAGTCTACTCCTTTTCTTATTTAAATCCCAAAGCAGCTCAATGAATTACATACGATCCCCCATTTTACAGATGAACAAAGGGCGACACAGAGAAGTTAAGTAACTTGAGCAAAGCCAGACAGTGAGGGGAATCTCTAACCACAAAGACCCTACTTTTCTTACTAAGTTAAAGGCCCTGATAATCCACAAAACAACTACTACACCAGAAGTGAATCAGGAGTGGTTAAATGGAGAGAGAAAAGGTTAAAGCAAGGGTGAGGGTGAGAGCAGCAGAGAGGTGCGACCCTCAGTAAGCACGTCCATCGTAGGCAGGTGACGCTGTGGCCTGACTTTACGCAGACCAGGCGTGAGAACTCTGGTTCCTACACGAGAGTTTATGAGCCTCCGGAGCTGCTTTGGAGAAACCCTTCTCCTTGTGGCCCATGTGCTCCTCCAAGGAAGGATCCCGATCGTTTAATTACGGCTCACCACCTGGAAACTTCAGGAGCAGAGTTCAAAGTGCTGCTTTTTTATCTCCAACCTTCTGTCCTTGTTTGTGTGGCCGGTGGACCCAGACCTCACAAAGCGGCGACTAGACGGGTCCAGGGTGCGTTCTCATTGGGCACATGTTTGAAAGCATCTCTTTTTCTTTACTTTTTATATTTCCATTTATTAAGTACAGTTTTCATAATTAAGCTTCTAAGGAATTTTACTATGACTAAATGAAGCAGTGTGCTTTATTCTTAACTAAAGTGTAGATTGAAGCACCATTAAATCATTAAAAAAGCGTGGATTCAAAGTAAACATCTATTTCCTTGTACACAGGTGAAAAAGCTCATTACTCAAACATGTTTTGTTTTATTTTTAGTTTGTTTCATTCTTATTATGAAATATTTCAAGCATGAAGAAACTGTAATGAATAATGTGGTTGACACCCAGCTTAATGAAATAACATATTTGTTTGCTGAGCCATAAAATAATAGAGGGAATGATCTCCACCCATAAAGCACAAATAGAGATGTTTGTGCAGACGGGATGGAGGAAATGTGCAGCCTGAGCTGAACAACACACCACCAGTCTGCCCCTCCGCTAACGGAAGAAAGACGTGCTACGTCAAGTACTAGGCATTGAAGTATCATCTCTCCTTGGTTCATCCTAAACCCACTATAAGCATTTACTCACCCAGAAGCACAAGTTTTTGTTGTGTTTCTTTGAATCAGTCCTAATTCATCGTTACAGTTGCTCCTTGAACTCTAAGTAGGCATGCGAATTCGTGTTCAGCCCTCTGAACCTTCTGACCACCTCCTCCTCTAAACCAAACACTCTTGTTGAGTGGGGATTGGTGGCCCACAGCACTAGCCTCAGGATTTTCAGTTTTATTAAGGGACTTGCACAGCGACAAAGGATATGTTGTGAAGAAGGCCGGATGACTACCCAGACAGGACCCCAGGGCCGGCTCTCCATCTTACAGGCTCAACTCCTTGATACTGTCAACACATTGAACATGGGTTCGTCTCTCACGTGAGACCCCCATTAATCAGGTTCACAAGTTCCTGCATAAAATTAAAATGCCCGATGATTAATTTACAAAGAGAAACATAACTGTCACATAGCCCATAACACTTTGACCTGATAGATTTTCAGAAGCTAACATACAATCAGAAGGTTTCTTAGTGAACATGCAATCAAAAAAGTGGGAGAGGTAGGATCGAAGTTTCTAACACTGTGAGACCATCATCCCCTTAGTAGGAAGAGGTTTGCTAATGAGAACATGATGTTTGAAGTCCAGTGGCCAGGAGTCCGTGTCCCTGGACAGTGCTTCCACAAATCCTTGCTCAGGGCTTCCCCGTCCGAGCCTCCCCAGGACAGACATGCTTCCTTCATGTGTAAAAATAGTTGGATCGCAGCCACGTCTTGCTAGGCTGAGGGTCATTCTTACTCCTTCAGATGACTTTGTACATCTCTGCCCCTTTCCATGAAGTGTTGATCTTTAATTTGAACCCTTAGAGAACAATCTTATTTCCTTCTTCTCCAAGTCCTTAGGAAAGTACCTCACTGTGGCCCCATTTGCTGTAAGAAGATACATCCATTGACTTGTTAACTTTATAGAAGTTGACATCATTTCTGTGACTTGAAGCCAGCTACCCCCATGTAGAGGTAAAAACCCACTCAGAAGTTAGTCTCTAAGTGCTCCACTTTACCAGTGAAAGTGATAAAGTGATAAAGTTAACCACTTTACCAATTAAGGGGCCTGTGCTGCCCTTCCTGCTGGCCTGAAGGTGCCACAGCTTTACAGGACTGCATCCTTGGGGAGGAAATAGAGCCCATCCTGCTGACATGTGAGGTTTCAAGGCTCAGTCACCCCACTCTGTCACAACTTTCTGTTAGAGGAGCTGTTTTAGAAAATATAGCCAACAGGTTAAAAAAAAAAAAAAACAGGTCATTTGATAAGTAACAGTGTTAGGAACTTGGTAGAAAAGCTTGGCTAACCACAAGGGGAATAGAAGAAAGAAAGGAATTTAGAAAGATCAGTTCAGGGGCTGGCCCCGTGGCTGAGTGGTTAAGTTCACGCGCTCCGTATCGGCGGCCCAGGGTTTCACTGGTTCAGATCCTGGGCGCAGACATGGCACCGCTCATCAGACCATGCTGAGACGGTGTCTCACATGCCACAACTAGAAGGACCCACAACTAAAATATACAACTATGTGCTGGGAGGATTTGGGAAGATAAAGCAGGAAAAAACAAAAAAAAGATGGGCAACAATTGTTAGCTCAGGTGCCAATCTGTAAAAAAATGGAAAGATTAGGAATGAAAAGAGAGCTGTGAACAATCTGTCAGTAAATTTGAAGACTTAGATAAAATTGGACAATTTCATAGAAAAATATAAATTACTGTGGGGAAATGGGCTTGGACGGCTGTGATCTAAGTGGCAGAGACACTGCTCAGGGACACGGTCTGCTTTTCCCCCCAAATGAAAATGAACTTCCTGCTGCTGCAATTGGCTTGAGAATCAGACGGGGCAAGAGAGACCTGTGTGTTGCAGTTACCAAAACTGAATCAAGGAATAGAAAAGCTGAACACAATGTTCATTAAAGAAACTGAATCTGTAATCAGAGATCTCCCCTCAGAACAGGGCTCAGGCCCAGATGGTTTTTCAGATGAGTTTGAGTCAGCTCAGCCTGCTGTAACAAATACCATACACTGGGGGCCTTAAACAACATTTATTTCTCACAGTTCTGGAGGCTGGAAGTCCAGGATCAGGATGCCAGCATGGTTGGGTTCTTGTGAGGGCCCTCTTCCTGGCTTGCAGGTGGCTGCCTTCTTACTGTACCCAGACTGGGCGGATGGAGAAGCAGAGGCAGGAGAGAGAGAGTGCACACTAGTTCCCTGGTCTCTTCTTATAAGGGCGCTAATCCCATCATGAGGACCCCACCCTCATGACCTCATCTAAACCTCATTACCTCCAAATACCATTACATTGGAGGGTTGGGGGTTCAACACACAAATTTTTGGAAGATAAAAACATTCAGTCCATAACAGTAATATATTGTATACAACCTGTTTCAAAGAATAGAAAAAAACTACCCTATTTATTTTATGAGGCTAATACAACCTTGATACCAAAATTTAATATGGACTATACAAGGAAAAAAAAAAGGTCAGTCTCAATTATATAAATGCAAAAATCCTAAATAAAATGGTAGTAATCAAATACCTAAAAGCAAAGACTTCTAAAAATGCATCATGTTTCTGAACATGCATCAGAATAATAAAGCATGGGGGCACAAGTGAGGATATGGTTGGGGCGTGATATAAAACAAGATTAATTGTGAGTTGAAAATTGTTGAATTTTGTTGAAAATTGTCTGCTTTTGTATATGTTCAAAAATTTCCGTAATAAAAAGTTTGTTTAAAAACAACGCATATGGCCAATCAGCATCTACCCCAGGAAGGCAAGAACACATCTCAGGAAGATTGCTCTGTAAAGCACTGCAAGATGCACCATGTCAACTTCCGCTGCCTTCTCTTTGGAAAAATATAAATTTCTCACAATGCTTTTATCTGAGGGGAGTTTTGTTTTTGGAGGGTTTGAAGAACAGGACCAGGGAGTAGCTGACATAGGGCTCATGTGAATGTGTCCCCACATTTGGGACCACAGGAACCTAAGAATCAAGCGATACAATGAAAGGAGATTTGTATACATATCACAACCAGGGGAAATGATGGAGGGAGACACACACTGGTATTTTAGAGCAATTTTTATTATTGTGGAAAGAGCCCCCGACCCCTGAACCTGAGAAGTGTCTCTGTGCTTAACTGCCCAGTGACCTGGCCCTCAGCCTCGTGCACGGCCTGCTTCTCAAACCACCAAGATCTCTCTGGACCTTAACGTTAATGAACATGATTATATTTCTGTACAAACAAGCAACACTTGGAAAAGTCACTGTGTATCTGCTTTAATTTCAGGACAGGATTCCATGGCTCTGCAGCTTGCATGACATTTTAGTAAGGTAAGAGCACCAGGCCTTGGATAAGCCAGCGAGTGAAGAAAACCCATTAAAAAGTTCAGGAAAAAAATACACTCTTGAAATCACACCTGACTGATGATAAAGGATCCCAGAAATGGAATGCACTTCTATCAAGTAACCAACAATGATTTTAATCAGCCCTTTGGCTGACATATATCTTCGTCGGGTTCTAGAGGCAACCTTCCAGACAGCTCCACAGTTACCAGCTGGGAAGCTTGGTCAGCCATGTGGCTTCCATAAGCCTATTTCTTCATCTGAAAATGGGGATAAATATAGTTCCTACTCACTCAGTAGTGAGATTAGGCATGAGTAGCACTTAGAACGGTAACTATTAACTTACTGTATTTGAGGACTTAATATGTATAAGTACATATTAAGTGCTCAAAAAATGAAAACCGATGCCACCACTATTAGAGCCATATCTTAGTCAGCACTTTTTCTTCCCCCTACTTCAAGCTGTGACAACCAGGAAGATCTGGGGTCATTTTTAAGTCAACAGGTAATTGACCACCAGGATTTAAGTCCCAAATTGTCCAGCTCTGGAGCATGCCTCTGAGCAAACAAGGTCCCCTCTACCCATCTGCAGGCCTGACCCCTGGGAATCCTGGTTGCGACATGGAGGAGGATAAAGAAATGGCAGGGAAAGGGATATAAATCTTGCTTTTCTAAGATGAAGTCGTGTGTTATAAATCTAAAACCATCTGGGCCACATGAGATTATACTGATGATTAAAACTTCAGTTTACTTTCTTCACACCACACTGACATGGCTGGCAACCCTGTCTTTGCTGGAGATTAGGGTTTTAGGGTTTCAGGGTTTCAGGGTTTGAGAACTCCTGCCCTGACATAGACAGACTTGTCAGACGTCAAATATACTGACTTGTGATGGAAGCAGAAGTGAAGATCTTCAGGAGAGCAGACCAGACTCTAACCCAGAATAAACAAGCTCTCACTTGGGGCCCTTGGGAGGAGCTGGGAGGCTCAGGTTTGTTGCTGACGATACACTCCATCCACTGGGTCTCCAGTCTACGCTGGCCCTAAGTTCAAAGGCAGACCCCTTCAGAATTCACTTCAGAACAAGTGAACTTTCTACTAAGCCAGCATTTACCCTTTCACCTCTGTACTCAAGTCCCTTTCCCCAAGATGACTGCCTCTCCTGCCCAGGGCAGGGGCACACATCAGCTGGGTGGAAGTGGGCTCTCACGCTCTCGCACTGTCTTGGGCCACTCTGGTTTTCCTTTATTGGTGCCTTGTCTCTGCCTCTGTTTCTGGCTCGGGTTTTTTATTTGTGCCTCCCTAGAAACGTCTCAGTCTTGCTCACTGACCACACAGGGACTACGGCTCCCTTTTCTCCTGCTTTCTCCAGCACTGCCCTGGGAACTGCCCCAGACTCTTCCAGCATACTGTACAGTAGGAATGGGGAGAAGCCAATCATGAAACTTAAATCACTGAACACCTGTGGAGAACCTGAGCTGAGATCTGCGTGTGGCACAGGCGCCTGTTGTCAGCCACACATGTCCACACGCTGTGGCTGAGCCACATCCTACATCCACAGGAGCAGAATCAGCACTTTCCGAGCACTTCCTGTGTACCAGGCATCTTGACAGACTTGTCCTCACCACAGTCCTATGGGCAGGTACTCTGAGTAGCCCCATTTAACAGATGATGAATGGATGCTCAGGGAGGTAAATACCTTGCTCCAGATGGCTGAGCTGACTAGTGGAAGATCTTTACCTCAAAGCCAGGTCTGCCTGATGCTCGACCACCATACTGTAATGCCTTCCACTGGCAGAGGAGTCAGACTGGAGTCCTCCACCTGGAATTGACACCCATTATTCTAAATGTCTTCATCCTGTAGCACCCCTCCCCCACTTTTTTTTCTTAACAGAGAGGTAGCCTCAGGACAGCAGGTGGTTCTAGCTTGTTCTGCTCTGAAGAAAATGTACAGAGACATCTTAATACGAGGAAAAGAAGGTGCCCCTCTGAAGCGTGACGAGTCAGGGAAAGAAGAAAAGCCGGCTGAGCTGCAGCTCCTTGTGGTCCACCTGAGCGGGTCATTTGAGGTCATCTCTGGACGCTTACTCAAAAGAAAAGGACATTTTATGCCCCCTGAGTTACTGCAGTCCCAGTTTGATACTCTGGAGCCCCCATCAGCTCCAGAAAATTTCATCCAAGTCAGTGTAGAGAAAAATCTTGCAGAGATAATTGCTACAATTATGGAAACTCTAAAATGAAATGAGAATCCTTTCCTATCAGTGGTCCAGAACAGAATTAAGCATAAATCTCTATCCCATGCCAAACCATGTTCCTGTATCCTTGTAGATACTGTATTCTAAATTCTTCTTAAGGTGAACAAACCGCAATGTGTTGAAATATGCGTGTTTGGGTGTGTTTTTAGGAATCTGCGATACTGTTGTCATCGTGCTCTGGCACATTCAGAGGAGAGGGAACTGTGAAAGTAGAGCTTCAACTGAAGTTTAAATTCATGTGACCCAAGCAGATGATCAGAGGCAATCCCATAATTGATGCTGTAAATCACCACCTTACTTAGAACATCTTGATCATGCCTATATTTGGACAAATAAATGAAACTTGGCTATCCTTGGCATCCCTTAGAAAGTGGTCTCAGGAGCAGAAATGTGTGCAGAATCGACCACTCAGCAACAAGTCATGTCACACCACATGCCTCCCAATACTCTCCTTGGTCATTTCAAGATAAATAAATAAAAAGCACATATAGTTCATGGATATAAAAAACTGCCAAGGTGGAACTTGAGAGAATGAAGGACAGGACTCTGATCCAGTCTCCCCCTCATCATATAGGCAGACCTCTGTGAGACTAGGCTGGTGTCAGCCTACCCGCCCTCCTGCTGTAAAAGCCATCAGTGATGGGCACTAGGCAGGCGAGGAAGGAACACCAGAGCTGCTTACAGCCAAGACATGAAACAAAACCTTCCAATGGGCAGCGACGTGCCAGAGGCAGCTGGGCTGGACAAGGCTGTAAGGGAGACTGGAGGTGCTGGTATGTTCCTGGCATGCCGGTTACCAGGCAGCCACTACGGAAGCTGCAATCTGGCCAGCCACGGGCTAGGTTGAGCCCTTCCCCCAACAGGGCTCCAGGAATAAGCTTCCCTTACCCTCTATCCGGATCAGGACCAAAGGACCCAGCCACTCCTGCAGGCCCACTGGTTGGCTCTGGCCAGAAAGTGAGTTTTAGAACCAATTACCTGTCTTCTTTCACAAGGGCATGCAGCCTTTGTCTACCAATAAAATACGTGTGTGGGGTGTCAGTGGACAGGACCTTTTCTACGGAAAGGGATGTTGCCTAGGAAAATGTGGAGCCCCAGATTTTCCTCTCTGCCAGCCTATCTGGGGCACCTCCTGCCTGGTTTGAGTTTACATCAACCCTCCTATCAGGGTCCAGGCCTTTAAGTTGCCCAGTCGACATACTCTCTCTAGCTGGATGAGTCACCCCCAGATGCAGAGGAAGGACTCCATCAGTCCACTGTACTCAGTGAGTCCACACTGCGTCCTGTGATGGGCACCCTGGAGGGTTTGAGGACCCGTAACACCAAGCCCTGCTCCCAGGTAGCTCAAGTCGGGTGGAAAGATAGGGCATCTCGTACCCTCTGGCATAGGCTGGAGTTCTCAGTGAAGGCAGTTCTTCACAAAGAATTGATTTTCAAATATCCTGCTAGACTTTCACATAGGACCAAATGAAAAAGCCTATTTATAATTATAGGAGCACAGAATCTAGCACTATTTTACACATAAACAAATTTTTTTTCAGTTTTAATATTCACTGAAATTTCCAAGAATGCAATAAAAGGAGAGTTATATTCCATTTTAGTTTTAACATTACCAGGAGTTGTTTACCATTTCAGAGAAGTCATTGTTTTTCTGTTACAAAAACAACACGCCTACATCCACCTACATTTGTAATTCTTCGTTCCCAGTGATCCACCAATGGGCACAAGCACCTAGCTACCCCACTGTGTTCATCTAGCACAGCCACGCCCAAGCATTCCATATTGAAACCTATTAGTTTATTACAAGTTACTTTTTTTCCTCCTTTAGAGTTAAGGCATATTTATTATTTGCTTAGGTAAGTTTTATTAACAATTAATTTCACTTCAAGATGGTAAAGGGGGCATTAGAAAACAGTTGTTAAGAACAGTTGTTAATTGAGGCTGGCGGGGTTGAGCACGGCGACAAGGGAGGCCAAGGTATGAGCCAGTGCTGCCCTCTGGTGGCCCAGGGTCCTCTTCCTGGGTTAGGAGCAAGGAACGCTTCGCCCCTCCCAGCCCTGACCAGACTCCTGCCCAGCCTCTATCACAGGGGAAGAAGGAGCAGGCGAGAACTGTTTGTAGTGGCTCAGAATAGATGCCAACGAAAGATTTCCTCAGCCCTGCAAATGCCACTTACGACCCCTCTGGCAGGACTCTCCACCTTACCCTCTTCCACTCCCCACCACCAGAGGAAGTTCAGGTTAAACATTTTCCTCTCCTATGAAATGGGGACCACCTGCCTCGTAAGGTTGTGAGAACTTACAATGCTGAGACCAAAACCTGACACTAACTGCTCAACGAGTTAGCTCTTGGTATACTTGTCATCCCCTGGAGTTTGAGGGAGTGTGGCCAAAGGACAAAAACTCCTAATCCTGTTTTTGACTGTGGGGAGCTTATGAACCCCTCCTAAGGATGTGAATCTTAAGTCTTTGGGTTCTGATAGGTCGTCTTCCACCCCTCCCTTGGCCAGATCCAAGCAGGCAGGGTCTGGGATGATGCCCTTGAAGCCTGAGACGACTCGGCGACCTGCTGAGCAGCCAGCTCTGGAATCAGGACCCAGAAACGGCTGGTCTCTGGGCACAGCACTGCCACAAACTCAGTGGGTAATGATGACCACTCTGAGGTGTCACCAGGTGCCATCCAAGGTCTGAGACCAACACCTGTGCCTCTCTGAGAGACTGCTCTGATGAGTAAACTACTTTTCAGTGGGTGGGAGGGCAAGAAGGGAGAAATTAAAACAGGCTAACTTTAATCAAAGATACAATCGACCAGGAACTTTGATTTTCTAAAACTGTGATATGTGAGTTTATTCTCCTTTCACTGAACAGCAAATCTGTATATTAAGAATGATTGATTGGAGTATTAACTAATTATGGGCATTATGAATGCCCAGCAATTACCAAGGAAGTCAAATTTGATTAGACATCCAGCTACAAGCTGTGTTGGGCATCAATGTAGGGAGTCATTTCAACCCCTACAGAATCTCAAGTGTGAAACATAGCTTGGTGCTGATTTCTGGATAATCTTCAATCCCTCCAGTGGAGTTTTTTTGCCAGCAACCTATCTTAGATGCGGTGGAAACTGAATTTCACTTTGTGGGTGAAGGTTGGAAAGTCATGAGCCATCACTCAGGAGGACCCCAGACCTAATGTTGATGAGTATCTACTGGATCTAATTAAGGATCCAATCAGATGGTGCTGGGGGAAATGACCCCAAACCATGACAGTTCATGGCAGGACTTGGGACACTTGAACGCCCAGAGGACCTAGCAAAAACAATAATGGTGGGATATGGCAGACATTAGGTAGTAGTGAGACTGTGGCAAAATGGAAAATGGATGTTTTATCTAAAAAGGGCAGCCACTACTCAGCTCAAGATAATGCAGGGACATACCTGCATTAAAGTTGGGTTTGTTGCTTGTTGCATAAGGGAGAAGCCACACCTTCAGAACCATGAGGGGTATCTTAATAAGATAAGAGGAATGAAGTGAGGCTAAAGCTATCATTCATAAAGAAGTACATTAGCCAGGACAGGGAGTTATTTGGTCACTTTTGTGTTTTGGAAAAGTTCACGTTTTTCTCTGTGTTCAGGCACAATTACAGAACGGTCTTTGTCTTGACCATGGTCACAGAGCAGTTCTGTAGTTACGTAGGTGTTCTGTGGAACTGTATGTTCAGCAGACAAAGAAGGCTCATTTTAGTACTAGGCCAGCTCCTGGATGACAGGGACTGCTTTTCTCTCTCTCATTGTCAGAGATGGTTGTCACTAAGATCTTTTAGTCTTAGATTTGAAATAGTTGAGGACACATCATTTATCTTTAGAATAAGCAAAGAACTCAGGTTTTAACTTGAAGGGAGGGTTTAACTTGAACTTCCCTTCTCAAGAAATGAGAATGTGGTAGGTTTTCAACCTTAAGTAAGGGCCAGGTTGTGGTAGCTGGTTATACCCTGAGGTCAGAGGGCTGAGTGACAGGAAGCGAGTAGTGGATTAATCTCTCAGGACATACACCACTTCCCCTTCTGTAGCTAGGGCTGTTGTGGTTAGGGTATGTGAATCTGGAAGACCTTGAGAAGTTCTCTCATCCCACTCAGCAAACACGCTTGTCCAAAGAGGGCCCAGGGCCCGGGAAAAAAATGTCTGTCCCTGTTTCACCATGTATCAGTACTTCATTCCTTTCTCTTGTTGAATAGTATTTCCATTGTAAGGATATACCACATTTGGTTTAGCCATTCATCAGTTCACAGATATCTGCACTGTTTCCAATTTTTGGCTATTACAAATAATGCTATGAACATTCCAGTACAGTTTTTTGTGGGGACATTAACATTTTCATTTCCCTTGGGTACATACATACCAAGAAGAATAGCTGGGTCAAATGCTAACTCCATGGTTAACCTTTTGAGAATCTGCTCAACTGTTTTCCAAGTAGCTGCTGTATTTTACATTTCTATCAGCAACCCTAGCCAACACTTACTTTCTGTCTTGTGATCACTGCCATCCTGGAGGACATGAAGTGGTATCTCATTAAGGTTTTGATCTGCATTTCTCTAATAATGCTGAGCATTTTTTCCTGTGCTTATTGGCTATTTGCTTATCTTTGAGAAATGTCTATTCAAGTCTTGTCCATTTTTTAACTGGGTTGTCTTTTATTGCTGAGTTGTAAGAGTTCTTCATATATCCCAGATACTAGATTCCTATCAGATATATGATTTGCAACTACTGTCACCCATTCTGTAGGCTGTCTTTTCACTTTATCAACTCTGAAGCCCTAAAGTTTTTAAGTTTGCTGAAGTCCAACTTATTTTTCATTGGTTGCTTGTGCTTTTGGTGTCACATCTAAGAAACCACTGCCTAGTCCAAGGTCAAGAGTTACACCTATATTGTCTTCTAGGAATTTTACAGCTTTAGCTCTTACATTTATGTCTTGGATCCATTCTGAGTTAGTTTCTGAATCAGAATATGCATTTTAACAAGAACCCAGGTGATCTACATGCATAATGAAGTTGAGAAGCAATGCCTTAAATTACTAATAAATTCCCATTTCCTTTAAATCAGTGGTTCTAACCGGGGCAGTATATTACAATCACTTCAGGAGCTTTAAAAAATTATGCCTGAGCCTTACCCAGATACAGCAATTCCACTTAGTCTGGGGTGGGCTTATGTTTTAATCTCTGTAGTTGATTCTGACGTCAAACCAAGGGTTAAGAACTACAACCTCTTTGCAGATTAACATTTTCTATAGCCCTCACCTAACTCCTCAATTTCTTGAGGAGTCCACAAAGTTATCTCCATCCACTTGCTTCACCATTTAATCAATGTTTCATGTCTTTCTCATTTGAAAAGAAATCCTTAACATCATTCACAAATCCTTTTTATATGGATTTCACCCACATGCCTTTGCTAGGCTGGTAGGCACCCACTGCATTCTTAATATGTGTTACTGAGACTTTGAAC